CTCTTTTGTTCTTATTTCAACTCAAGGAAATGCGGAGAACTAAATGTTCCTATGGTTCTTGTTAATTCAATTTGCATTTCCTGGTTCATTTATCGACAGTAAGGTATTGTCGAATTTCGGATAATGGATATTTTCTATGATATTATACGTTGGTCAACAAACATGTATTACGTATTGTATAGGGAAAAATATGATATGGTACGTAGTCATTTAAAGAAAAGACACGTGGAACCCATGACGAGGATGGCCGAAGACCGAACACAGATATTCCGTTTGTCACCGGAAGGGATAACGTTCATAGAAGTATGAGCATTTAATAAGGTATATTCTGCAGCATTAAAAGCAATGGCCTGTTACAGGAAATTTGGCATTTGTGTCTATCGTTACATTTTCATCAATGACCCTCATAATTTATTTTAAAGGAGGGCACGATCCTAGGACCTTCTTCCCTAGACACAGCTATAAATAGTGATCTTAGTTATCATTGTAAAGGACAGAAATTTTATGGCAGACTTACACTACATTCTATACAAAACTTAATACAATTTACTTTCCTGCCTTTTGGTTTCATCATCGCTGTGCCCGGAAACCTTGTTCCCGTGAATGTCATCTCCTTTGTTTCATCAACATTTTAAGGCTAAGTATTGCTTAATTCTTTACTTATTTTATTATTTTCAGGATAAAATTAGTTCACTTGTCTAGAAACCACGTATAAATTCAACTGTAACGTTTTCCGAGTTAACAGTTTGACGCCCACCGTGTGGTCTAAACAGTCATACAATTAAATTGATCCTTGCTTTGTTTACTAACATACTTTGATTATTTTGTCTTATAAAAAAATCATAAGAAATGGTAGATAACACTATTAACAACACGCACAACCCCGAGGTTCGAGGAGAACAACCTCACTTCAAGAACTGAATAAGTAACACCCACAATGAGGGGAGTGACGCCACATAGGTGCATGACAGGCAGTATCCTCGACATGTTCAGGAGACGACTCCCGATTATGCTGATAAGCAGTATGTCGTTGACGCAGTAAGGGTCTTGCAAGATCAACAGGCGATCATCCTAGGACATCTCACACGGCAGGACAAGGTTATGACGGAGTTGAAGCAGGGGCTGTCGAGGGCTTCGGCTTCGAATAATACAAATAGACAAGATCCAATTCCTCCCGATGTTTGCGCAAATCAAATGACGCAAATGGTCGACAACGACACTCCCAGGGGTGAAGGTTTCTCTGACGTGGCTAGAGGGAGCATAACGGTCTTAATAACGAGAACGATCCTTTCAAGAGTGAACTTTTACGATTTATGAGGGAAGTAAACTCCCACATGGATCAAATCCCAGGTGCGCCACCAGTACTGAAGGGCCCAGACTCAAAGAAGTATACTCAATTGTCGTACAAGCCAAGCATGCCACCAGAGTTAATCCTAAAGCGGTTCAAGAAGCCTGAAGTACCAACGTATGATGGAACTTCAGACCCTCAGGAGCATATTACCACCTATACAATAACGCTAAAAGAAAATGATCTAGCTCATCATGAAATTGAATCTGTGTTGCTAAAGAAATTTGGAGAAACTCTCACAAGGGGAGCTTTGATGTGGTATTTGCTGTTACCTGAGCATTTCATAGATTCTTTTAAAATGCTCGCGGATTAATTTCATCAAGGCCCATGCCGGGGCTAGAAAACTACAGGCCTGAAAGGCCAATATATTCAGAATTGCGCAAGAAGAGTCTGAGTTATTAAGGGAGTTTGTTACCAGATTCCAGAAGGAAAGAATGTTGCTCGCGACTATCCTGGATGAATGGGCAGCTGAAGCATTCACTAGAGGATTGAATCCGAGAAGTTCGGACGCTTCCCGAAAATTAAAGGAAAGCCTTCTTGTGTTTCAAAAAACGACTTGGGATGATGTCCAAAACTGGTACGAGTCAAAAATAAGGATCAAAGATGATCAAGTTAGTTTTCCATCATCGACCAAAGGATGGGATAATAACAGAGAAAAATCAAAGGATGATTACGACACAGACAGACAAACTTTGAGGGGCTGGTATTTGCCCTCTATTGACAGAATCTCCATTACCTGATGTAGAGTCAATCTCATCAAACACCTTGCTCTCTTCCTCTCCCATGTATCCTGCTACCTCTACTGATCCTAGCACTTCTTCCTCACATGACTTACCTCCTCCTAAGAAGTCTGGGAGAACTAGCAAGCCCCCAATCTGGTTGACTGATTATGTTCATCTACCCTTACCATTACTTCTTCTATTTCCCATCCTATTCAACATTTTGTTTCATATACTCACCTTTCTCCTTCTTTCAAAGCCTTCCTTACTTTTTTTTTCTGTTGATGTTGAACCCACATCTTTTCATCAAGCTAGTAAAGATGATAGATGGGTTGAAGCTATAAAACATGAAATTGAAGCACTGGAGCAAAACAACACTTGGTCTGTAGTTGACTTGCTTGTTGGTAAAACGCCCATTGGATGCAAATGGGTGTATAAAATAAAGTATAATGCATATGGTACTATAGAAAGATTCAAGGCTAGATTGGTTGCTAAAGGCTTTACACAGTAGGAAGGGTTAGACTTCCATGATACTTTCTCTCTAATTGCTAAGTTGACTACTGTGAGGGCTGCCATTGCCACTGCTGATCTCAAGCACTGGCCTATCTTTCAAATGGATGTTCAGAATACTTTTTTGAATGAAGATCTTGAAGAGGAAGTCTACATGACTTTGCCCCAAGGATTTAGTAGCCAGGGGGAGCATAAGGTTTGTAGGCTACTTAAATCCCTATATGGGCTTAAGCAGGCTTCTAGGCAATGGAATGTGAAGTTGTCTCAAGCCTTGTCTTCATCTGGTTTTAAACAAAGTAAGCATGACTATTCTTTGTTTACTAGAAATGTGGATAACAAATTTGTTTTGATTTTGGTCTATGTAGATGATCTACTTGTTACAGGAAATGATCTACAGGAAATTAAAAATGCACAGGAGTCTCTGCATCAACACTTCAAATTGAAAGAACTTGGAGAAGTCAGATATTTCTTAGGCATAGAATTTGCTAGAGCAAAGGAGGACATTCTTATGACTCAAAGAAAATATGCATTAGAGATGATTTCTTATGCAGGTTTGGCAGGTTCTAAGCCTAAAGAAACACCAATGGAGCAGAACTTGAAGCTGACAAGCACTGAGTTTGATACTTGCTTAGACACAAGTAAGGGAGATGAATTACTGGAAGACAGGGGGAGTTATCAAAGGATCATAGGAAAGCTTTTGTATCTAACAATAACAAGGCCAGATATCTCATACGCAGTACAGTCACTAAGCCAGTTTATGCATACACCTAAGAAATCTCACTGTGAAGCAGCACTTCATGTAGTAAGGTACATCAAGAAGCAACCAGGGTTGGGGTTGTTAATGTCAAGTGGCAGCAATGCAGAAATAGAAGCATTCTGTAATTCAGATTGGGCATCATGTCCTATGTCAAGAAAATCTGTTACTAGATACTATGTTAAACTTGGAATTTCAACCATATCCTGAAAAGCTAAGAAGCAGCATACTCTATCTAGAAGCTCAGCTGAAGCTGAGTATAGGAGCATGGCACACATAATAGCTGAACTTGTGTGGTTGAAATGTCTATTAGAAGAGCTGAGTGTAAATCTAAAGTTGCCCATGAAGTTGTTCTGTGATAATAAAGTAGCATTGCAAATTGTTGTAAATCCTATGTATCATGAAAGAACAAAACACATAAAAATAGACTGTCATTTCATCTGAGAGAAGATTCATGGAGGGATGATCAAGACTTCTTACATTCCTAGTGAGGAACAACTAGCTGATGTGTTGGCCAAAGCACTAGGACATCAGCAACATGCAACATTAATCTCCAAGTTGGGAATGAAAAGCATTTTTTCATTCTCAACTTGAGGGAGAGTGTTGAAATTAGAAGTTGTAAATAGTTGTACATTTATGTATTTATATAGTACTCTTCTAGAAGGTGATTAGTTAAGGAAGTTAGTAAATGATTAGTTATGTTAGTTAGTATAATAAGGGGTGTATAGTTTATTTTACAGCTAAGCAAGTAACATAATAAACGGTTTTCTTATTTTTCAATTTCTTTCTCTCTCTAACGTTCTCTCTGTTCTTTCTCTTGCTCGAGCTCACCAATGGCGGAGCCTAGGGCTAGATTTCAATAACAAATAATAGGGAAAAGTAAATTAGCCCAGGAACTGTAAGAAAAGGGAACTTATAATATGGCATAAAAAATTTCTCGATAGTGAGGTTCTATTAGTTTTTACACCTAAGGCATGCTTTTGATATCTTGCATATTATTGGTGGTAAACTGTAATAATTCCAAACAGGGGCGGCCCGAAGAGTTGGGCCTTAAATTTTATTAAAAAATATTTATTTATTTATTTGAAGTCTATTTTTCTAGCATTTTTTAGATACAAAGTTATTAATTTTTTTTTTTATAATCAATAACTCCTAATAAGTCTTTCTTAATTGACAATATGCCTAATCCATTTAGCCTTTCTTGAGACATTATTGATCTTAAGTAAGATTTTATCAATTTTAATTTTGAATTTCTTTCGCTGAAGCGACGGTAACAAGAGTTATTAACATTATTCCATAAAAAATATAGCCATTGAAAAAAGAATCAAATCTTTTTATTTGACCGATTGTATCAATTAAACTATTACTCCCTCCGTTCCAATTTATATGAACTTGTTTGACTGGGCATGAAGTTTAATAAAAAAGGAAGACTTTTGAAATTTGTGGTCCTAAACAAGTCAAAAAGGGGCCCAGGTGCAAAGGTTTCATCATAGTCGATTCCTTCTTGTTGAGAGTAACCTTGAGTCACTAGTCTTGCTTTATTTCGAACGACTTGGCCTGATTCATTTAATTTATTTCTGAACACCCATTTAGTCCCAACAACAGAGGAGTTTTGGGGTTTTGGAACTAATTCCCAGACTTTTGTTCTTAAATTGATCTATTTCTTCTTTCATAGCGTTGATCCAATGAGAATATTTAGAGCTTCATCAATCTTCTTGGGCTCAATTTGAGAAATGAGAGCTATATGAGACGTATTCTTTTGTGATCTCCTGGTAGTTATTCCTTCTTGTGGATCTCCAATAATGAATTTGCGAGGATATCCTGGTTCGTTCCTCCATTCATTTGGAGTATTCCCAGAAGATATGTTAGTCGATTGATTTGGTGGAGATAAGTCATGATCTTCTGAAGGAGCTTCAACTGGTTGATTTTGTTGATTAGCTGACTTAGTTTGATGATCTTTTTCCTACAATAACAGATTTTGGAGCACACGAAATTTCATCATCTTCAGGAACATGTTCATTCCTTGGGTGAGAGTTAGTATCAATAAAAACAACATAAATAGATTCTTCAATGCATAAGGTTCTCTTATTGTAAACTCTGTAAGCTCTACTAGAGGGAGAGTAACCAAAAAATATACCTTCATTACTCTTTAGATAAAACTTGCCCAGATTATCCTTACCATTGTTATGTACAAAGCATTTGCATCCGAAAGGGTGAAAGTAGCCGATGTTTGGTTTCTTACCATTCCATAGTTCATAGGGAGTCTTTTTGAGAATAGGGCAAATGAGACATCTATTAATAATATGACACATTGTACTTATAGCTTCTGCCCAGAAATGGTGAGGTAAAGAGTTCTCCACTATCACCGTTCTTGCCATATCCTACAAGGTTCTGTTCTTTCGCTCTACTACACCATTTTGCTGAGGAGATCTAGGTGAAGAGAAATTATGAGATATTCCTTGATCATTGCAAAAAATTTCAAATGCTCTACTTTCAAACTCTCTTCCATGATCACTTCTGATTGTAGAGATATAATAACCTTTCTCACGTTGAACCTTCTTACAAAAGATTTCAAAATTTCCTAAGGCATCATCTTTATGACTGAGAAATATAACTCATGTAAATCTAGAAAAATCATCTACAATAACAAAAGCATATTTCTTATCTCCAATACTAGCAGTTCGAGTGGGCCAAATAAATTCATATGCAGTAGTTGAAGAGGTTTAGAAGTACAAACAATGTTTTTAATTTTGAAAGAGGATCGAGTTTGCTTTCTTAATTGACATGCATCATAGATATGATCTTTTGAAAAATCTAGTTTTGGAAGACCAATGACAAGGTCATGTTTTGAAAGTTTTTGAATGGTGTGTATGCTTGCATGCCCAAGTTTTCTACGCCAAACCCAGGGATCTTCAATTATAGAATAAAGACAAATTTGATCCCTAAATTTTCTAAGTTTTTGATAGTATAGACATTTCTGTCCCTATTGCCAGAGAGAATGATATTACCTGATTCGTCTTCTATGAACCAGCCATGTTTCTTAAAACGAACCTTATAGTCATTGTCACATAGTTGACTAGTTATTACACCCCGCAATATTACGTCCTGCGGTATTAAGTTACAACAGTGTTTTACCCAGCAGTATTACATTACGAAAATGTTACGCTTTACAGTAATAAGTTACGATAATGTTGCACCCTGTAGTATTGTATGTTGAATTTGTCGTAAGGTAATTGACATCAGTCCAATGAAAATATTATTTGGAGATTATAAGGATTATGTTATTTCACAGGTGATGAGTAAATTCGTGAATATGGAAGGGGAAGCAAGTCAAAGAAAATGAATTTTCGTCGAAGTTTGCCGATTTGGGATAAAATACGGGTCAAGTAATAATACCCGATAAATATAAACTAGTATCATGCGAGGTACCATATGACCACAGTAGTATAATATATAAAGTATATATGTAGTATTTTAAAAATAAATAGAATTTTAAGTAATTTATGGTAATTTTTAAATTATGCGAGTAATTGATTAATTACCGGGTAACATAATATTACCTGGTTAACTAATAAATGGATAAAATTATCAAAATCATACCCCCAAGAAACGTGGCAGCTTCCCCCCCTTAAGGTGACTCACTATACACCTTTACATGTGGCCACCTAAGATCAATTTATGACATTAGTATGAATTTGATTTTCAATTAGAATCAGAAACACTTTCTTTTCAACATTTTCAAAACCATTTGAACCAAAAAGAGTTCAAAACAAAGTCTCTTTCCAAGACTTCAAGAAGCAGAAACGTTTTCTTCCTAACAATTCAATCCAAGAAACATTGGAACAAAAGTTTTATGTTTAAATTCTTTCATCAGTCCAAAAAAAACGTGAAAGCAGAATAAATTTCGTCCCTATTTCGCAAAAGCAGTTTCGTTCAAATAATTTCGGGAATATGTATGTTAAGACTATCCATTCTTTCTTTTGGCATGATGCATATGATACGAGCGAAACGTGCAAATGCACAAATCCTATGAATGATTCTATTCATAGAAGTATTAGAAATATCTATGTTCTTGAATTTCCATGTGTCATAATATTTTATCATTTGTTCATGGATCTCAGAAAAATACGAAAGTTGAAAAGAGGTTACTTTATGATATTACTCAAAGGCAAAGTGGTCTTATGACAATTCCGAAAGAATTTATTAACGTACTTTTAATGCATTGCATTCATGTGCATTGACCCATGACCAGATGGCGTTATATACGCGTATATATGTATGTATATGTATATGGGATATGGGAAAAGGTTACAACTTTATATACACACCACCACCTGATCAGCTAGTATATGATGATGATGTTGCCCACAGTGGCTTAAATATAATTCAAACGGTGCTATATACACGTATATATGTATGTATTCAAATGGCATTATATACGCATATATATGTATGTATTCAAACAGCATTATATACGCATATATATGTATGTATATATATGTATGGGATATGAGAAAGGTTATGGCGTTATATATGCACCACCACCTGATCAGCTAGTATACGATGATGATTTTGCCCACAGTGGCCAATATGATATGATGGGATGCCCTCAGAGGCTGATGATGTTATGAAACATGTACCTATGCATGACATGACAGTCATACGCATATGCATGACGCTAAAAGTAATTTATGATTTGCAAAGCTATCCAGACTTACAGGTTGGGTCATGTACTATATATTTCTTCCATGTCTCTTATGTACTTATTTATATGCCTTACATACTCGGTACATTATTTGTACTAATGTCCCTTTTTCCTGGGGACGCTTCGTTTCATGCCCGCCGGTCCCGATAGACAGGTCGAGAGCCCTTCAAGTAGGCTATCAGCTCAGCGGAAGATGTTGGTGCGCTCCATTTGCTT